ATGGAAACACTGGAGAGCCACTGCCAGTCAAACAGTGGACTTGTTTTGAAGGAGTTTTGCATACAAAGCTGTTGAACGAGCTTCAGCCATTCCCAAATGTAATACTTCCTTTGGGTAGAATGAAGCAATTTGTTAGAGACATGGCACACTCTCCTACTTCAGAGACCTAACTTTGGGCTGGCCCACTGTGAACCCCTCCTTAGGAAGGGGTACACTGAACCCACCCTCCCCCTGGTGGCCTCCATATCCACTGGACTCTAGAGGTAAACATAGACAGTCTTTATTGGTAAGCCTTTGTCTCCCTTCACCATGCTGAGGCCCAACCTACTTAAAGATTCTTGCTCAGGGCAAAGACTTACACCTCCCTTCCCCTCTTCCTGGCTTTAAATCAACATAATGTCCAACACCCTTTGTTTGAAGTACCTGCCCTTCCCCTGGTGTTTCTCATCTGATTCCCTGCAGCAAGGCCTGTCTGTTCCTGTGTGAGTGGCTTCCCCAGCCTCACTGCATCTGAGGCTTAGTGACTGCTTCTGCACCAGATATTAAGTCTAGGGTTGGATATACCTGCATTCCTTCTGTGACTTTCTGTCAGGCAATTCTTGATTCCTTGTCCAAGGAAATCTGGACAGGTGGCTGCAAAGGGAATCCTGTTCTTTTTCTGTCTTGCTATACAGCGTTTCCCTCTCTTCCTTCCACCTCCTCTTCCTACCTCCTTACCTCCTGCTACATCCCAAAACTCAATAAGCTCCCCTTGATAAGACTCAGTGGTTTCACTCCCCCAGCTCTGCTAGCCTACCCTTATTGACTCGAGGCCCTTTCTGCAGCCTCCATTCCATCTCTATCCTTAGGCCTAGCTGTTTGGGTGTTTCCAGCCAGAGCATGAGGATGACCTGACCCAGTGAGTCCTGGAGACTTGTTATAACCATCTTTCCTAAAGGCGATTCCAATGTTGTCAGAGCAACCATTTCAGTTATTTAATTTCCCACTAAACCTCATCTTCCCCTGCCCCCATTGCAAAGCTAAAGTGTTTCTTATATGTGAGTTTAAAGCTAAGCAGGGTATGCACCCCCCCAAAAAGCCTACCCCCCATTCCTCTTCTCACTGTCTTGCTCTCCTATTCATCACTGAAGCTGTTGCTGCTGACCAATAAGTCTACAGTAAGATGCATGGTTTGGTCAAGCATTCAAGAAATATGAGTATATTCCCAGAAGAAAAAGAAGGCATCTTTTTGCATTTGTCTTCCTCTTGGTTGTACAGTACTATGCTGATAGCATGTGAATACTCCAAAAACTCAGATCCAAGATTACTGAAAGCTTCAATAAATTTTATACTGAAAAATCTGCATTCTTTTTATAACCTATTCTGGGGGCATGAATGAGCAATAAAGGTTACACTCATGAGTAATGATAATGACCAGACAAGAATCTCTTTGGATTTCATATAAGAGAATCAGTGTGAAAATGCAATAGAATTTTTATGCTCAAATTTTTATGTTCAAATTCTCATCCAAAAAACTTTGTACAACAAATATGTGCCATCCATCAGTGACAGATGGTTAGATAAATTCCAACCCCTAGTGAAGAGGATGGGCCTCACAATGGCCCCATAAGCAATTTGCAACCCATAGAAAGAGAATCATAAAGTCCTAGCAAAACAAATATAAATTGTAGGTCAAATCTCAAAACCATTCTTATTCATCTGTCAAGTAACTTTTTTTCAACAAGCTAGCCAAATGATTGTGAATAGTCTTTGAATCTGTGTGGGTAAGATTAGCTCTTAAAGCATACCGTGTTCATTAAAAATTGAACTAATGCATAAAGAAAGAGGCTGCTGAACTAAACAGGGCTCAGACTGCCCTATATTTTCTTGTAGCAATCTTACAGCATAACAGTATTATGAGGAAACCTGAGAAATATGTAAATATGACTAAATGCAAAACCAGCGATATTGAAACCTGTAGAAACCAGAAGGAATTTGGGTGGGGCAGGGGGTCACTACAAGTTCTACAGACTGCTGTAAAAAACAGTCCTAATATTCTTTAAGGCCCTTCAAAGAGTACTATCGTTGTATAGTAAGCTTTTAATGATGTTTTTAACATGGTGTATTTTATACTGTATTTTTAAAGTCTTGTACACTGCCCAAAGAGCCTTGGCTATTGGGCAGCAGTGAAATCAATCAATTAAATAAATAATTCAAAGGGCCTGAGCAGCTTTCAGTACTTTAAATGCCACTAGATACTCCCAGTGAGCAACTGATGATGTGACATCAGTTGCTACATAACGTCAGGCCTTCATACTGATCTTCAGTCAGTTTCAATTGGTTGCTTCTGCTCCATGATTCAACAGTGCAGTTCAGCTTGCATTTAGCCTTCATTTCTCAGCTCCTGCTTTTCCCAATTATCTTGTCTTGGAGGTGGCACACCTGTCAACTGATTGTGCAGAGCAGGTTCTCCCAAAAGAACATACTCTGGATGTTTCTGGACTACACTGCCTATTAGCCATATTGGGTGGGGATTAGTTGAATTCAACACATCTGGAGAGCAGAATGTTGTGGAAGACTGTCAAAAATAAAAATACCTCCTCAAGGGGAATTTTTCTTATGGGTCAACCTGGCTCCCTTTGCTTTTTGTGTTCCTCTTAACAGCTGCTTTCAGAGTATTTTTACTTCAATTCTGAAAGACCCAGATGAAAATCAACCAACAACCTTAGCTGTTACCATTTAATGCATGCTCTCATCTCCTCCCTTGGAAGTTGTAATACTTGCTTCAAATGAGCATGCTCTGAATTAGCACATTAGCTTCAATCAGCTCAAGTCACAGTGACAACAGTCTTTGCCTACAAGACCTTTGGTGGAGTGCAGTTTTGCTCAAGTGCTTATTTTTCTGCAATTTCCTTTCAATCCTAATCTAAATCTGTATGTCTCCAATGAGTACCTTAACATCACAACTACACACAGCCTAAGGAATTGTACTGTACAGACACTGTTTGCATATGTACAAATTAGCAAGAGCCATTCTGAAGTATCAGCGAAGAATGCCTCACTTTGAATTCTATTCCTGCAAGTTCAAATGCCATATCATCACAGGAAGATGCATTTCCTGTTTATGAACTGTGCACAACAAAGAATTATAAATGCAAATCTATTCCTCTTCCCCAATTGCTCCTTGCAAATTGGACACATGTAACCTCATTGATGTTACGATCCCTTTTTGAATTCTCCTTGTTCATCAGAACTCTGTATCAATCAGCATTATTTCACAGGATTCTCAGTATGAACTTAATATCAGTTAAAAATGGCTTGTGTTAAAATCAAAGAGAAACTATATTAAACTCTGCCAAACATACCCATAATTATATCTTTAAGCAAAGATATCTTTAGAGTTAGTATATACATTATGAGAACAAACAGAAAAATGGTTTTGTAGAAACACAACCTTAAATATCTCATTGTTTAAAGGATCAGCAAAAGACTCACATGGTTTGCAAAATACTTGTATAATATTTAACATGTTTTACCCGAGTAAAATGGAATCCCAAACACAGTAAATGACAGCTGCAGATTGATGATGATCACAGAACTGTTTCACACCCCTTCAAATGCTTGGTCACTTAAGCATATGCTCAGTCATCAAGAGTCTCTTGAATGCTACAGAGGGGAAGCTAAAGATTAATCCCACCATCTCCCGCTGTCTTTCAGTTTGTCAAGCAGAGCCAGAAGGTAGGCAAATTAACACACATTATCCCAGAGCAAGCTTCCCTGATCAGGTGCCCTCCAGAAGACATCTCCCATTAATACCTGCAAAAATGGCCAATGTGGATGCTGGGCATTATAGAGGGTGCCAGGCTACACTAGCTATAGTTCTACCCATTTAGGAGGCATTAGGTTAGGAAAGGTCGTTAGATCTAAGACAATTAAATCATCCCGGAGCTGGGCCCCCAACAACAAACCTTTGGTGTCATAAGCCTGATCCCATTCTGACTGGGGTATGCTGGTATTTGTGGATGCACAGGACTCCACCCTACAATAGTCAGCCCAATGACATGCATTTAGATTCATTCCATTGCTTTCCTAACCTTCTGTCTCCTAGTTTCAAGTCTCCTTTTGTAGGAAACAAATTTCTTCAGCAGGCCCCTTCCTCTCCGACTCTCTTCTCTTAAGCAACACTTTAGATTCAGGAAGCCATGGAAAGAGGCTTCCATTGTTTGCTTCCGAGGGGTAATTTCTAAGATTTCTGTACAAACATCATGTCTCATGCTCTCCAATGACAGGCAATTATCACGGTCAACACAAATGTTGAAGCAGGAGACTCATCTTTCTTTTTTCCCCCTTCAGATACTCCATCAAAGATAGGGTCAAGCTCACCTGCTTTTGGATCCAAGGTGGGAAACCCATATTTTTGTTCAGGTTCCATAATACGTATATTATGTAAGGTGAACAGTGATTAACCAAAAGAATGGCTTTTTTCTCCACTCCCACTTCTTCTAGGATCGCTCAAGACCGCGCCCCCTAGCGAGTCTCGAATAGAAATCTTACTCCCAATAACAAAGAGGCTTTTAAAAAATCCTTTCTAATGCTCCGGTTCTGCCCCTTCTCCGCCCTAAGCCAGTGCTGGGCGCATTTGCACGGGGGGATATTGCAAAAGCAACCCTGATATACGGCAGCCTTCACAAGATTTCATGCTGATTTCACCCAGTGCATCTGGTGCCACTCAAGCAAGAACAACCGCTATTCCAACTCGGTACACATTTTGTACACGTTTCCTATTAGCATTCTGTTTAAAATACATGTTGATCTTTGCTGCTCTGAATGAAAAAAAAGGCATCTGTGGCCGCGTATAAGCTGCTAAATATAGACGGCTGGTAATCCTGATCAGATATTATTAGCCACCGTGCTCGATGGAAGGTGCGTGTGTGCACAGAGCAGGAGGCACACTTTGCAACCCCGGCGGCTTTTCTGCTGCAAAGATGGGCTCTAGAGCGACGGCCACACAAAGTACTCACACCACTAGCCTGGAGATGATCCAGGAGACCATGGCGCTGCGGCGGGGTCCTGTGACAGCAAGGAGGAGAGCAGCTTTTCTCCCTGGCTCGAATCCGTCTGCCTGCCGTCGCTAGAATGAGCAGTGCAAACGCCTCAGCCATTCGGCACGCCAGCCGCAGCGCGCAGCCTCACTGGGAGCGGCCGGAAGCAACCGCAGCAGCGAACGCTGGCCGAGGAGGCGGGCTTATGCAGGCAGGGCGAGGCACGGCGCTTGTCTTGAGGCGGGCGTTCGTGCCAGCTTGCCTGGCTTGCCCCAGGCTCGGTTCCTCAGCTTACGGTTGCCACTTGCCTGAGCTCAGTAGGACGAACGGGATCGATGCATCTCGATGTTCTTCTCTGGCTGACCTTCAGCTAAGCTGGAGAGAGATGTGTATGTCTCCTGGCCTTCCCCGGCCCCTTGCAACAAGCCTGCTCTGTCTGAGTAGCCGCAGATAAACGATGCATTTAAACTGAGATTTCATGCTATGTCTTCTGTGCGAGGAATCAGGAGGTGGCACCATCTTGACCTTGGTCTCAAACAGCCCAGGGTCTTAGCCCAGCTCTGCAACCAAGCCCATGATTTTTAAACTAGAGCATGGAATGCTAGTATGAAGAAGTCAATATACAGTAGTACCCAGTGCTTTTGTAGTAAAAAAAAAAAGTGCCGGAACTCACATCTTGTTAATCTTTTATTTAGGGTTTTTTAGGGTAATCTTTTATTAGCAGGACCGGTGCTTGAGAAGTAATTAGTAATTTTTTTTCATTTTTAAATTTGGGGTCACACTTTTACACTAAAAAATATAATTTCAATTCACCAACTTCATTAATGACATGGAAGAAGGGGTGAATGGTATGCTGATCAAATTCACAGATGACACTAAAACTGGAGCAGTGGCCACAACTGGGGAGCAGGTACTCCAGATCCAAAAGGATGTGGACAGACTGGAAGTGGGCAGGAGACAACAGGATGGCGTTCAATGTGGATAAGTGCAAGGTCTTGCACTTGGGGCATAGGAATAGCTGTCATAAGTACAGGTTAGGTGAGAAGTGGCTGGAGAGCAGCACTTGTGAAAGGGACCTTGGGGTACTGGTTGACTGCAGGCTAAACATGAGTCAGCAGTGTGATGCGGTGGTCAAGAGGGCGAACGCCAGCCTTGGTTGCATAGCCAGAAGTGTGGCTTCTAGATCAAGAGAGGTATTACTACCACTCTATACAACTCTGGTGCGCCTGCAACTGGAGTATTCTGCTCAGTTTTGGGCCCCTCATTACAGGATGGATATAGCCAGGTTAGAGTCAGTGCAGCGTAGGGCCACAAGGTTGGTGGCTGGTTTGCAGGGGATGGGGTATGAGGCGAGACTGAGGGAACTGGGTCTCTTCAGCCTGGAGAAGAGGAGACTCAGAGGGGATATGTTGGCAACATACAGGTATGTGAGGGGGTGTCACACGGAGGTGGGTAGAGACCTGTTCTCCCCTGCAGAGGAAGGCAGAACGCGCTCCAATGGAGCAAAGCTCAGGGAGCCCAAGGTTCCATTTGGATGTCAGGAAGCACTTCCTGACAGTCAGGACCCCGAGGGTGTGGAATGGGCTTCCACAAGAGGTCGTTGAGGCCCCATCAGTGTGGGTGTTCAAGGATAGGCTGGACATGCACCTGGTGGGCATGTCGTGAGCAGAGCTGGCTGGTGCCAGAGGTCAGACTAGATGGCCCGGGAGACCCCTTCTGACTCATTCTGTTCCTATGTTTCTGTGTTTCTAACCATCACAGGGGAGGCAAGTTACTTTCATAGTTCTAAAAAATGGAAAGCAGCCTCCTTAGGCTATAATCAATAACAGAGAAGTGGGGAACTATTAAGCCTTCCTCCTTCATGACATTTGTCTGTTCTGGTCCACTCCCAAACCTGCTTCTCCTCTTGTGGGTGCAAATGTATGGGACCTTGGCAGGAAGGGAAAGAGATGAAACACAGTCATTCCACTTCTGTTCCTGAATACAGCCTCTCAGGGTGTTTTCCCTTTATTTAAAATAGGAGATAGGTCTATCCAGTGCTTTTTTTGTGGGAAAAAAAAAGTGCCAGAACTCACATCTTGGGGTCACACTTTTACACAATGGTCGCTGCCGGCAATAAGCACTCAGTGCGCGACCACATGACCGATCCCAAGCCGAGCAGCATCCAAAGCTGAGCATCACCCTCACAATCAGAGCCGACAATCAGTGCCGACACACAAGCAGCCCGCAGGCACTATGTTAATGATTTTTGCCACCGATCTGCTACGCCCGACAGGGCGATTCAAAATCACTTGGAAAAATCCATTGGAAAAATCTGTCAAAAAAAGGTGCTGGAACGCCGTTCTGGTGCGTTCTATGACCAAAAAAAGCCCTGGTAGTACCTCGGCTCATGAACGCCTCAGTTCATGACCAAATTTGGTCATGAACAGAAATTTCATAAAAAATTTGCTGCAGGTTGCAAACTCTGCATCAGGAGACAATCATGAGAGTGCCTGCCTTTTCTGCACGGCACGATCGCAGTCATGCTGGGGGGTGTGGAGAGATGGCTGTGATTCTGCACGTGTTCCCTGCCCGAGTGCGCCCGCCTTCCCCCAGCCCCCCTGTACTCACCTTCCCCCAGTGCCCCTGTAGCTGTGCCCGTTTCCCCACTGACGTGCGCCCACGATTGCGCCTGTCTCCCCCCACCCTCCTGCACGATCTCTGGCGGGGGGAGATGGCCGCAATGTTTATTGTCACTTTGCTTCAAATTTTTGTGTGTAAAAAAAATAGTTGTAGAATGGATTAACCTTATTTACATTGACCCTTATGGGGGAAATTTAATTTGGCTCATGACCAATTTGGGTCATGACCAGAATCCTGGAATGGATTAAGTTCATGAGCCAAGTTACCGCTGTATTTATTCCAGATTCTGACCTTATTTTTAAAAGGGTTTCCTTTTTTTTTGATAATGTTTTTATTATCTTGTTAAAGAAAAATATTTAATAAGGATCCCTCTACATCTTGATATTCTAATTTACCCCATATTATCTTATCTGGCTGTAGTATAATATCTAGTATATGCCTCATTTGATTTGCTATATAATAAAATTTCACACTGGGAATACCTAAACCTTCTGTTTTCTGGGGCATATACCATCTTTTTAAATTAATCCTTGCATTTTTATCTCCATTACAAAATTTATTAAACAGTTGCCATTCTTTCAAATCTTTCTCTGCTAACTTAATTGGCAATATCATACACAAGAAATGAATCTTAGGTAAAATCTTCCTTTTAAATGCTGCTATTCTACCAAACCATGATAAACCAATCTTTCTAAATCCATTCGTTTTCTCTTTCATTTCACATTTTAACTTATTAACATTATTCTCTTTTAAACATTGCATTTTTTCTAATATTTACACCTAAATACTTAATAATTTTACATATCTTAACCTCTAATTTGCTCTTAATCTCATCCTTTTCTACTTTATTACAGTTAAATAACAATCTCTGTTTACTTGCAAACCTGTTATTTCTCCAAATTCTGTTAAACTGATCCATAACCTTAACTGGATCCTTTATTGTTAATAATGTATCATCTGCAAATGAGTTAATTATTTTATTCTCAAATCCTATACTTTTATTGAATTATCATTCCTAATACCATTTATTAGCAGTTCTATAATTAAAGCCAACAATGACAACCCTGTCTAGTACCTTAGCATAGGGATATTTGGTCTGTTGTACCATCATTTACTATCACCATTGCAAAGTTTCTTAAGTACAATTGATTTATTATACTTCTAAATTGTGGACCAAATCCCAATGATTTTATCAATATCGTTATTGTTGGCCATTCCACACAGTCAAAAGCATTGAAAATATCTAATGTTACTATACCAGCTGTTAATTTTTTCTTGTGTGTGTGTGTGTGTGTGTGTGTGTGTGTGTATGATTATATTTAATACTCTTCTTGTCAAATCTGCCATCTTCCTACCTATTATAAAACCACTTTGATCCGGATTAACATAATAGCCAATAATATTATTCATCCTCTTTGCAAATACTGCTGTAAAAATTTTTGCATCTTGGTTATTCAAGGATATAAGTCTATAGGCTCCAGGATCAGTCAAATCTTTGTTGGTTTTTGGAATTAAAACTATTAAGGAGTATTTCCAAGATGTTGACATCTTACCTCCTTCCAATATACATTTGAATAAAGATTTTAATTTTGGAATCAACCTCTTCTTAAAAGTTTTATAATACTCTGAGCTTAAACCATCTATCCCAGAAGTTTTTTCTACTTTTAACTTGTCAATAATATCTTCTATCTCCTCCTCTCTAACAAATTGTTCCATCAGCTCCCTATCCATTTGCTGTAGTTTTCTTCCCAATAGTGTTCTCTATGTATGAGCTAATTTTATCCAATGACAACTTACTGCTTGAATACAACTTAAATTAGGAATTTTTAAAGATTTTTTCTATCTTTTGTTAAGTTGCACTTTTACAACTCTCATCCTTAACTAACCCAATTAAACTTTTAGCTTTCTTTTGTTGTGTGGCTCTAGCCAACAATCTTGAATTACTAAATTTAAAATATTCCCTTTTTAAGCATATTAATTTTCTCTGTATTTTTTCAGTTTCAATATTTTGCAGTTCTTTCCTTTTAGCTATTTTCTATATACTTTTTCTCCAATTCTTTTATTTGTCCTTCCAAAATTTCCACACATTTAATTCTTTTTCCTCTTAAATTGTATGCTTTAATACTTGACCCTCTTGCAACTGCCTTCATTGTATCCCAATTCAAGCTTTCTTAACTACCTTCTCTATCTGTTATATCTTTATATTATAAAATATTTACATCTATTTTCCATCTTTTAACTTCTCTATAGTCACATTTAATTTTAAGTTGCATATTTACCTGTTACTTTTATCAAGGTTATAATCGAGTTACATACTCTAGATAAATCATTAGACACAAATATATAGTCTACAAAAAGTCTTATGAACTGAAGACGAGAATGTATACGCTTTTTCATTTCCCTTTAACTCTCTTCATACATCTTTCTGATCAGTTTTGGCTACAATTTTTGTCAACATTGTAAA